AAAACTCACCTTAGAATGAAGTAAATATGGTATTTGATACTGACTGCTTGTTCAGACCCAAACACCTGCGGATTAAGTTACCAGAGATTGTGTTCTTTTTGGTCTCATCCTAGATTCAAGGCTAATCACCCAGCTCTCCACCCCCACAGCTAGTGAAGTTCACGAAGCTTGAAACCAAACATAAGAAGAATCACAAGTACGGGAGTACAGGTTTTTATTTACAAAAATGTTAATTCATTTCAATATTTGCAATGAAGTTAGGGAGAAAAAAAAATCCAAACATACAACAAAGGTTTGAAACCTTAAATACAAACAAGTCACTTGAAGTACAATAGTTGAAGATTTCTCTTCTCCAAACAAAAAACATTTTTATTTTTAAATGTTAAGCATTTTAAACACAAATGTCAGAAGGCTATAGTTCAAATCAAGGACACAGTCATGATTCACAAAATATGCTTAAATGATAAGTTATCTATACTAGTACGTACATGAAGAGTCCATGTAATTTAGATTGAAGAGGCACAGTAGAGTGGCACGTGGTGAACATCCTACAGGCTACGGGTAGCTTGATTCCTATATCTGGAACAACCTACTGCTTCCCATCATAAAGATATTGGGGAAGTTACATTTTCCGAGTTGACTCAAATTACACCAATGAACATGTTGAAAGCTTATTTGTTCAGGATAGAGGAAGACTTGCATCATACCAACCTGTGAGAGCCATATGGTCACCATCAACTAAGTTTACCACTGAAACATGTATCTCAAGGACTCCAGAGCAGTGTATACCCGGTACGTTAATGCTGACCAGCCATGCCTTCACAGCTGCAGAAAAGGTATGACTGTTCTCTGACTGAAGTTGATGCTTACACACAAGCAGACCTAGGCTATTACTGTTGGTCTACAACAAAATGCAGGAGTGTGCACACTATTATTTATGTGCCTACTTGCTTTCCTGTTGCCATATTCCAAGGAACAATAATTACAATATTGCAAGTTAAACTGGGCACATACTGGCATGTAATTAGAGATAGTATCATTTCTACCGTCAAACACAATCCCCAAAACAACAATTACCAGTTTGCAAAAACAGTTCTATTTACATATGCAGTAATAAGAGTATCCATAGTACACTGACTGTTCCATTTTTTTAAAAAAAACATGAAAACTAAGTTTGCCACTTGACACTACCTGAACTAGAAGATATCCAAAAATTAAGAGCAAGTTATTTTAGATAGATGTTAAGTACTTGGATATGCAATGCTGTCTTTAACAGACACAGACTTGAATTGCTTCTCAAATATTTTGCTAACTATGTTTATTTAAAGTAATCAGATTTTTGTCTACTCTACTGTGGTCTAAGCACCTTTGTTTTTAGCCTCACCACTAATGGAAGAGTGCCCATATCTAGTGTGTGGTAGCCTAGATATGCATCCATCGATGGCACTACTTTTTGGTTACAGTCAGAATAACTAACCAATCTGCATATATACAGCTGCTCACACAGAGACATACAAGAAGGTACTGGCAAAGTGGAGTGCCCTGCTCAAATCATTCATTGGAAAACATTAAGGCTGTGATCAGGATTCACTAAAGAGCCTTTCCCACACACACGCTTCTACAGCAACTCCCTCTGTGGGTTTGCTCACAGACTAACCTGCCTCTAGATCTTCTTCCAAATCTGGCTCCCTCATTCCCAAGGGAGACATCTCTCCTCAGCCCAAAGCTACCTATAAATAGATTAAGGCTAAATATTACTATTATCCATCATAAACCCCAGCAACCCCTGTAACAGCCCACCATACACATGCAAACCCTTCCTGCAGACTCCAGTACCAACCCCAAACTCTTCAACCCCAGTGAGTTTCCTCAGAACAGTGAGCACAGACCTACAAAATGTAGCTGACCGATCATGTAAAGTGACAGCTACCTAGCTGGGCTGCCTGTTTTGTTCTGATATGTACAAGTCAGGTGCCTTAGGTATTCTGCTTTTCAGCTAAGAATCCTTATTATGTCTAACTTATGTTCATGCAGGCTTCAATGTGTTCATGAATCAAGGGCCAAAAAATCAAACAGTGATATTAGACTGAAAGGAAAAGCATGTAGGCAATCAATATAGGGAATACTGCAACCTGAGCCTGATGCTTGCAACAAGATATATTAATTGGTGAGGTAACATAAAAAAGCACAAACTTGATTGTCTCAAGTCTACCCACAATTAAACATCCATATCTTTAGTTTTCTTTAAACACTTTTTAAAAATAATTTCCAAGGTAAATTTCAAGCAGAATCATATACATGGTTCTCTACAACCCATATTCATTCATATGCATTAATAAATGACTCGTGTTGGTGAAAAACAAACAAACAAAAAAAACACTATGGAAAAAATCCACAGTTTAGGCCAAAGAGTCTATGAGGGCAATTGTTAATGACTTCAAACATGCTGAACTGCAGAATAATTAAGAGAAAAGCTGCTGTATTTGAAATGGAACAGAGGAAAAAAAAATATGATCACATTTATGCTAGTTCAGTACCACCCAGATAGGTACTCTTCCTTGGTAGCAACAGCAACAAACAGAGACCTCTAGTCCCAGAATGCACATTCTCGCAGGCTCCAATTATTCTGGGGCACAAACAAGGAAGCAGTCACTAGAAAAGCAGCGCGCCAGCTTTGAAAAAGAAAGCTAATTTAAGCTTTATATAGGGGACAAAGTACAAGAGAGAGCAATACAAATAGTTATGGAGTGCAAAAGACAAACATATAAAGTACATTATTTTAGCACAGTGCCAAAAAGTGTACTTTTAAATATAAAAAGTAATATCCAGTGACAAATAAGCATTTCAAAAAAACACCAGGACAATTTGAACGGTCTTCTGTGCTGGACAGTAAGTACCTGTCTGAAAAGGAGAATGAAGGGAGAGAGACAAGCATGAAGTACTCTTTGGTAGAATACCAGCATTGCCAATTCTACCTCGTAAATGAGAACGTAAAGGCAGCAATTTGTAGAGCACCCATCTCTTCAAACTGGAGCATTTAGATTTCATGTGTACTTATACAATTCCAGAGGCACCTACAGAATAGTATTTAAGTTAGTTTTACAGACTGCAGTTTTAGAACACAATGTTTCATGGATCACTTTACAATATAAAAGGTTTTAGTAAATCAAACAATAAGCATAAAAATATTCCAGTCAAGTACCACTGGTGGCATTAAGTACTCATTAAATTAGAAATATATAATATTTCTAAAGACTGAATTGTAAATTCTAGTTTAAAGTGCACTAGATTGTCACAAGTGTCTGTCCACACAACTGTCTTTACACTCAATGTCACAATTTGAAGTCAGTCATTCTGGAAGAAATTATGCTTTGTTTCTTTATGCCTCCTGTAAAAGGGTATTAGTAAAAAGTAATCTAACAGTTTCCAAAACTGAAACAGTCTTGCTTTAAGTTTTAAATGAAAGAGCAAGCTCACAAGGTCTCTCAAGTTTGGAGGGTGAGCAGTTTGAAGTATCAGATACAACCCTCATGCCCAAAAAGCATCTATTTGAAAAATGTACTTTGAAAGAAGGCTGCTCATTTTGCATAAGACCTCTGAACAAGGGGGTCCTTCTTGCACTTTCATTCAGTTAGAGAAGATAACTATAGCTTCAACAGATGATACCACACTAGGGCACTTCAGGAGTTTGGTCAGTGGTTTCCATGGGGAAAGAATTTGGCCAGTGATCATTAATTAGACCACTGCCTTCAATCAGATTCTGCACAGCTGTTAGCAGTACAATTCTGTATCACCAGCAAAAAATACTGGGAGCCCAGAGGTTTTACAAAACTCACAGCCCAACATTTTCAAAAGGAATTCACAGCTAGAGGACTTCTAGTCAACAGTATTTCTAACAGCTTGACTATTAGTGAAAGTAAACATTAATGGTCCCATATCAGACCTTGCCATAGCATTAACTCAAGTCCTTATTTCTTGCCTTGGTAGTAATTTTCAATTGCATCAGAATTAAAATACACCACAGTAACTGTGATGTCATCTCTATACATTCTTGCTAGGTCTTCAGGTAAAGTCAACATTGCAGCCAGTTTCTCTTGGTCTATCTCTCCATATTCATTATTTCCAACTGCATGCCTTATTAGGTGAGTGGCAATATTCTGGTCAAGTGAGCCCATGCTTCTGGATTTCCTCTGAAGCAGCAGACTTTGCATATAGCCCAAGTTAACTGGCTTTTTGAGTTCTGGTTTCTGGATGGTAGACTCTGCAAGGTGTTCTGCAACAAGTTTTACCACATCCTCATTATTCAGCATGTCCCACAATCCATCCGATGCCATAACTAGAAACCTATCTTTACGTCTTAGTTTATGGTAGGTGACTTCAGGCTCTGCTGTTAAATAAGGTGGTGTATAATAGTTTGGAGGGACATACTGATAAATATTTAAAGCTTCAACATTAGAGCCATTCTCCAGAACACTCTGTTGCAGTTCCTTGCTCCATTTCAGTTGAACATCTCCGAAAGACCTTGAAGGAATGAGGATCCCCAGCAGCCGGTCATTCACGATTATTGTTTTCTCCTCCACTTTAGGATGTTCTTCCTTTAGCCTTCTGATTTCTGCTTCATTGAAGACATTGTGATCTTGAGTAAGAGACAGCGCTGACCAAGTTCCATCTTCTTCTTGAACCCCTAAGATAGCCCTGCAGTCCCCAGCATTTGCAACATGTAAGTGGACACCATCAATATGAGAGACACAGGCTGTTGCACCAGAGAAAGCCACTTGCAGGGCAATGTTTCTCATTACTTCATTTTCTAAGGGGGCCTGGACTTCCAGTGTTATGTCTGAATCTAACCTTTTGAACGCATTTATCAAGGCTTCTTCTACACTGAAACCTGTCTCTAGGTCAAGGTTTAAGAGATCTTGCCAATAAACCCTGAGGTGATCAAAGTATAATGAAGCCACTTCTCGGAACATAAGGTCATTCGGATGTTTGTACCACTGCAGAATTGGCAGGACTGGTTTCATGCATTCTGTGGCAAGCTCCATCTCTTCCAGCGCTTGTTGAGACATAAGAGAGACAGCAATATAGTAAAATAACCTCTCACTAACTGCCTGAGCACATGCATAACCACCATGGCCATCAAAGATGCCAAACATCATTCCTTTTGTTTGCAAGCAAGTGGCTGCACTCCTACGATCTTCACTGGGCGCGTTGGATGCTAACTGGTTACTTTCAAATCTCAGGACAGAATTTGAATTTCTGCCATCAAATTCAGATATTTTATGGGATAATTCACCTGCTTTCAATACATCATTTATTTGTGATGGTGTTAGCTGAAAAGTAAAGTGCTGCTCCTCCGTCGAAGTATGCCTGAAAGCCTTTAAAGTGAAGACGCTGTCTATACTGCAGCTCATCACAACAGGAGAGAGTGGTGCTTTGGCAAACATGCATTTGCATTTCATCTTGCTTTGGTGTGGGATCCATTTTGAATACAAACGTCCTTTTCCTTGCAAAACAAAAATGCTGTTTCTTGCAGAGCTTAAAATCCAAGAGGATACAGTATTTGACATCATAAGATGGACTCTTGGAAGTGATTCTTTCAGCAAAACAGAAAGTTTTAGGAGTCTGGAAGTTAAAAAAATAAGGTAGAAGTAGAAGTTAGATACCACACAGATACATCACATGACAACAAATAAATTATTATTAAAAATGTTGAATTGTAAATAATTTTCTGGTAGGCTATTGTGAGATAACTGTGTTACGTAACAGCTGAATTTTCCATCATTTAATTGTAAGTTAAGTGAATTTAGGAGCCTGTATTGTGAGTGCTCGTTCTAATTAGCTCCTCAGAACAGCTAGGCTAAGCTTGCCAAGTATATCAAAGCAGTCAAGTCCTTTTTTCATTACAGCAAGGCTAAAAGAAACTTCAGCAATAAGAAAACAGAAGCCTACACATTAGAATAAGCAGAACCAATGGGTCCAAGAGCTCCAAAGATCAGAACCTGAGTAATGGCCACCTTCAAGAGACACCTTTAAAAAGAGGGTACAACCATGTTGAGATAACAGACATATAAATACTGGAGGCTAAATGATGTCAATATAGAAAATATCAGGATAAACTGAAAAATTCGGGGTTGTCATCTGAAATCACCAAATAATTAAGGTTTGTGTGACAAGGAGCTTAAATCTTCACTTCTGAAGGATAAACTAAGCTTGGCAGGAGAGGAAGACAAACCTATGAGTATTACAGGGCTAGTCTGGGTCTACAGCCCTGGAGGTCATAACTAACCTTTAGGAATTTTGGACTCTCAGTTAAACTGAAGTTCAGTCAAATCAAGTTTTACCTGTAACCCACTTAAGCATTCATGACAGCGAAGGGCTGAAGTGAACCCGGAAGCATAGCTCCACTGACTACTGTTATCATATGAGCAAGAGAAGTTCTTAAAGTAATTTTAAACTGACTGCACTGATCTGGATACTGACTGACTGTTTTATCTGATAGGGACTTAGTGGGGGCTGTTATACCTGTTCACCGCCCCCAGAAAATTCAAAACTAGGACTGTATAAACTGAAGAGCATAGGCCATACTTGGAAATCTGTTTTGAGTGGTTTCCTGAGATTACAGGCAAAGGCAAAAATGAAACCATGCACAAGGCATTAATGTAAGACCTCTGACAGAATCTAAGAAAGTCAATTAGTACAGACTCCATATAAAAATTTGCAAAGGTACCCTTAAACTGCCAAAATTGATACAGCTCACAATAGAGTTGCCCTTGTTCCATACAGTACTTTGTCCTCCTCCTGTTCAGCGTGCTGCTAACGTACGAGACACATCAGGCATCAGTACTGATGGCTATCAGCAGGCATCATGACTGCCTATACACGTGCTTGGTGCTGAGGGGGGTGTTTTAATTAGAGTGGTTCCTGGATAGCTACTCTAATTGAAACAGCTCGCTGTCATGTGTATTAAGCCTCCACACACACTGCTCCCTATGCCAAAGCAGGCAGGTATTAAGAGCTGTAAAAGGATATTTAACAGCTTTCCACTAGTCAAGGACCAAATCTGGCCCCAGAACAAGTAGTTAAGCATCTAAATCTTCCTATCTACTCCAGAGATGAATTTTGTCATCTGCCTTTGCAAAACTGGTGCAAAATAATAGCTGCACTCTTAATCCAGGGTCAATTCTCACCCCAGGAAGTTTAAAATTAGGGTTGCACTGATAGAGATTTTTGTAGTCGATACTGATCTGATTTCCAATATCAGCCTTGCAGCATGGAGAGCTGCCTCCAGCTGGTAAGTCTGGTGTGGGGGGAGGGACGATGAAAAGGGTGTGGAGGGGGCAGATCAAGGCCCCCACAGGGAGGGAGGAGTGGGGCTGGAGTTGGGGCAGGGGCAAGCACTGCCCAGCCAAGGTGGGTCAGGCACAGGACAGAGCTGCGACTTGTCCTGGGGGTGCAGGGAGAGTAGCTCCCTCCATTGTACGCCGCTTGGCCAAGAGCTGCTGGTCTGGTGGATCATCCGGCACTTGCCTGCTCGTCCCGTCACTCTCAACACTTGTCTGGGAGGGGACAGGGTGGGGGAGTATGTGCCCCCGGATCTGCGTGGTGTGGGCTGGGGCCAGGGCTGCGCCAAGCTTTTCCTGGTGGGGCGGGGCTGCAGCCACAAATTTGCCATAGCTGCAGCTGCCTAACCCAGCGCAGCCCCGCCCTGCCAGGAAGAGCTTGGCGCAGCCCCAGCCCACCCCGCCCCACGCAGATCCGGGGGCACAAGCCCCCCTGTGCCCTCCCAAAGAGCATCAAGAGCAGCGACAGGAGCCACAGGACAAGCAGGCAAGTGAAGCCCCAACGAGCAGTGCATGGCAGTGGGAGGTGCCCCCGCTCCTGGTGCTTCCCAGACAAGCCATGGCTCGGTTCCGTGCCCGCCCTAGCTGGACAGCACTTGCCCCAGCTCCAGACCCCCTCCTCATGGGTGCCTTGATCTGCACCGCCCCCCCCCCACACCCCTTTCTTCCCCCTCCCCTTCCATCAAAATGGACTTACCAGCTGGAGGCAGCTCTCCACGCTGCCCGGCTGTGCTCCTCGCTGCCTGCGCTATGCTGCAGCTGCGCGCATGCACGGGCCATTTATCAGCCTGATATGGCTGATTTCCGATATATTAAATTTTCTTTATAATCAGTGCCAATCCAATATCAGACTGATGTATTGGTGCACCTCTATTTAAAATGTAACACTGCTTTTCTGGAAGACAGAAAGCAGCATCAGAGCAGTAAGAGAAGTCAGTCTATAATGAGAGCTGCTTTGGTTCCAGCACCACTTATCTGAGGTATAGACTTTGTTTGGGCAGAAGCTGTCCAAGGCAACAAAAGTCCAGCTTTGCCTGTTACATAAAGTGGTTTCTAAAACATCAGCAAAATTAAAAAAATATACTGACCCAAACAAAGAGGCCTACTGATAAAGGCCAAGGACTGTGCTGAAATCCTGTCTGGTAAACAAGAGGAGCATGGGACCAGAAATCAATAGACCAAGCTTACTGTGCTATAAGTCAACTGCTTCAGCTTAACGAATCACACCCGGGTGAGCTAGTTTACCTCCCTCCTCTGTTGAGGGGTCCTTCATTTGACAAACAAGAAAGAAACACAATTTGAAACTGGTGTCAGGAAGTCAGGTGGGAAAGCTCACTCCTTTCAGTTCATCATGGATACCAGCTCCACCAGCTTCTCAAGTCCTGGAATCCACTGTCAGACCATTGGAGCTTTGCTGTCCTAATCCTGACCTAACCGAAACGGATCAGGCAGATGGCCCCAGTTGCAATAGCTGAAACTGGTACAGATGGCAAAGTCCCACACTTTACCTGGTGCGTGAGACTTGCTGTTACTTCCCTTTCCTTTCCTGTCTCACTTTTTGACTTCTGCTTACTAAACTTGGCTTAGCCAGCCCAAACTTTTTTTCAGCACTGTTGCCAGCCCATCACCCAGAAGGGCAGTACCCTTAAGCAGCCAAATCACTGGTAAAGTTTTGCCAAGTCTCAGAGTGACTGCTAAGACCACGTGCTCCGTCTGTCTTTCTCCAGCAGCAAAACTTAGAAAGTCAGTGCCAAAAACAGAAGCTGCACATTTTTTAAAATAAATCCCTGCTGTTTTTTCTCCTTCCTCATACAGATTTATCTTGTTTTGTCTTCAAGGATGTAGGATCAAACCACATGAATAGCCACTAATTTTCTCTCTTCCCCAACAGAACTGTTAATACTACCTAAAGGACTGGCGGGAGGTGGGGGACAGAATTGGGAGGGAGGGTGTCATATGACATAAAGGTCTCACTTCCTATTTCATCTGCACTTGATTTTTTTTTCTTTTCTAAGAGGAGGTTAAAAAAAGATCTGAAAGGTCACTGTTTGCCACGGGATTAGGCAGGTCTAAATCTCTATAGATATGGAAATCCAAACTTCCTTTACCTTTTTGATGTTTTACAGTGACAGGGTCATTTTAAACATCTTTGAGTCCTTCAGCTCATTTATGTCATTCCAACTAACACAGAGCACATGTATGTGGGGACTAAGCAAATACCACCTGAGTGTCAAATGATGAGGCCTAAAGACAAAGAGAGAGATGCTTTGGGCTTATGGTTCTCATAATCTGTGGGTATTTTCACCATTTTATCTCAGTTTTCTATACTGGGGGTCCTACCCACCTGGGGTCCTAAGCTGGATCCAGACCACAGAGCTCCTTGAAGGCCGAATCCAGCCTGGGGCATGGGGATGGCTGCTGTGGTCACCCAAGTAGCCACAGCAGGTATGGAGGTGGCGCGGGGTTTGGCAGCAGCAGAGTCCAGAAGCACAACAAAGCTTCTGGAATAGCTACCAATGGTCATGATCACCTGGGCCCCAAGGGCCCCACATTCTGTGGGAGGCTACATCCCCCCCAACTTTTAGTAGCCCAGCCAGCTGGATAGAAAGTCTCTGTGGAGTTTGACACCCCTACTCTATACAATTATGCTACAGTTCAAGATATCAAATGACCAGGCTGGCAGGCCCATCACTGCCCACCCTGCTGTATATCAGCAGCTCTACAATACCTCATTAGCAACTGATAAATGCAATTTTTCTTTTTTTTTTTTCCCATAGGTTTCTTTATCACAGACACATCCCCCATTCCACACAGTCAATTCTATCTCTAGCACTCCAAGCAAGAGACATTTGCCTCCTAGCCCTTTAGCAGGTCCGTATGATCCTGTTTCCAGCACTATGGTTTTGTAGAGCTTAAACCTTCCTCCAAGCACACACAAATTGTTATCTAGGCAAAGTTAGACCCAAATGGCAGAGTTCTGGCATCAGAGCTGTACTGGCAAGTGAGTTCAAAATACTAGGAGGTAACTTCTGATGGGAAATGTTCTGCTGTTCATAAGCACTAGTAGAAACACTTTTTTCATCAGCAAAAGCTGTGTCTACACCAGAGATAGTCAAAAAGGCAAAGTCTTGGGGGCTGTATGCATGTCCTATCATGGAGAAGAGAGCCCAGGAGGACAGGTACAACTCAAAACACAGCCCAATTCAAACAGGCAGGCTGTTGGATAATTTCTTTTTATCTTTGGCCATCTGGTACCTCACCTAGAACCACTCTATTTTCTTCCTGCAGTGCAGTCCCATAATCAGTGAGCAGCTGTGGAGCTTTGCCATCAAATGCTTCAATATTCCACTTTGAAAAATTAACTAACTTCTAACTTAAGCCCAAAGCCACACCATGATTCTAGTATCAGCACACTGGTACATGTACCCCCCACAGTGCACTCCTCTGCTGTAACAAACACTACATGGATGAAGCTGGAGAAATGGTAAGCAAGGAGGATACGGAGGGTACGTCTACAAGGACAGACATCTTGCCAAACTGATACCAAGACAATACACTAGGAAGAGACCAGAGGGCTTCTGGGAAGGGACTGGAGGACCAACAATATGATTATAATTGTAACTGGCTGCAATAGCATAATTTTCACTGAGGTTGTCAGGTTAGCAAAACTTCAGAGCCACCACAGGGTGGCTGACTCACCAGATAGAGGCAGAAGTGGGTGGATGTGCAAAAGTGGAACGCATTATAGACAGGACTAAATTAAGCCCCACAATAAGGCAAAAGCTTATGTCACTGCTTTACATCAGCAGACTCCTTCTATACCAGTCTAGTTCTATGGATGCAAAGACAGGCAGGACATTACAGTCAAAAGGCTTAACACTATTCTAACAGCTCATTTTTAGGTTTTATTACTGGTCTGTGCTGCCCCATACCCTCAGTCACTTAACTGTGTCACCCTCCTCTGCACCTTCAACATTTAACGTGTGAACTTTGGCTTAACAGCCATATCCAGAGTCAGGAAGAGGAGAAAGAATAGGAAAGCATACATATGCAGGAGTTCTGGTTTGCGGCATCCTGGCAAAGACCTGACACAACTGCAGAAATAACATTTAACTCTGACTACTCCTGTGAATTTCTTTAAACAACTAAAGACTTTGGTCTAAAAATACCACAGAAGACTCCTGTCAACAACTTTGCAATCTCCATTCTGCACTGGAAGGAAACCAACTCCTTTCTAGCTCTTTTGCAAAATGGCACTGTATCAAAGTCTTCCATTTCCAGATCCACCTCCCAAACAGAGTTCCCATTTCTCTGGAACTGACCAAAGTTTAGCTCCAAGCTAACAAACTTTGCCAGTGCAAATTCTGTTGAAATAGATACAGTTCAGCCGAGCATACTGGCTTCAGTGAATCAGCACTTTTAAAAAATCCAGCCAAAATAATCTGATTAGCTCTATCCCTTCTCCTCCTCCCGCAAATGCAGCCTACTCAGGTTAAACTATGAAAATTTCACAAGGGTTCATACTGTTCTCTACAAGGATGACTGTAGGAACATTTAGGATAGCAGTGTGTGCGCCTGATCCCCTTGTTTATCTATGACAGAAGTATCAAACTCACCTTGTGTCCTGGGCGAGATCCAGACCACAGGGCTCTTTGTGAGCCAGATCCAGCCTGGGGCGCAAGGAAGTGGCAGCATAAGCAGCTCTTGCTCTAACCTGGAGCACAGAGTGACAGCTCCAGCACAAAGGGAGCTGAGAGGATATGGCTGCGGCAGTAGTAACAGGCGAAGTGGCTAGGGGGCAACTTTGGTTATGTCTGCCTTTGCTCATCCTCCTGCTGTGCCATGTCCAGAGCCCTGGATTATGCAGCAGACCACCTCCCCCCTCCTCAGCCATGCCTCCTAACTTCTGGTGGCTTGCCAGTAGCCCAGGGGACCAGATAAAGGAGCTGTGGGCTGAATATTTGACACCCGTGATCTACTATATTTTACACTCCTTTCTGCCCACTAGCATCCATTGCCAGCATTTGGTGCTGTTAGTTTTTGAATTGCCGCTTGCTCACTATACAGACCGAGTCTTACACGCTCTTTTGTGACACTGAACATACCCTTTTGAAAATTAAAGCCATAATTTGGATGTACACTACACTATGCTGCAGCTCTCTCACTTCTTTGCCCTTGCTTTAAACCTACTATTGATATTCAGTTTGTTGGATTAAAGCCCCAGGTTGATTTTGGCTCCAGTTCAATCAAAGTGTCCCAATTCTTCCCCACCTACTGGAAGAGCCTTGGCTGGATGCAAGCAATCTCCTGCTGTGATTATATAGTTGCTAGTAAAGCAGGGGCCAACCTTTTTTTGGCAGGTGTGGCACAAGTTAGCCCTGCATCCTTCTTGGGTGCCAACTAGATCCCCTTCCCCAATCTGCTGCTCTGCTTTCTGCTCCCTGCCTCATGCTACACACAGAGGCTGCCTGTTCTACTTGTGCCACAGGTTGGCCACTCCTGTGTTGGTACATGACCTGGAAAGGTCAGATGCTAGAACTGAACTGTTTTCATTGTCCACGCTAAGCTATAAACAAAAAGAAACAGAAAAAAGAAATGAAGCCTTAATTAGAGTTTACCTTTTATTTTTAATTGTAGTAAATTTACTCTACTGTCACATGGGCAAGTCCTATTTTAAACACTTAATTATGCTTCTTCACTCCCCCTACAAAACCTAGAATTGCAGAGAAGGGGACAAGAAAACAGGCGCAAACAAAAATGATTTTTTTTTTTTTTAAGGCTCCTGCAGTAACAATTTCAGAAGAAACCTTAATTCCCAGAGACAAATTGAAAACTATTCCAGCAGGGTTTTGAAGAGCAGCACGTTTATCTGCACAATTCAGGTTATACGATCAAAACCCTGATGTGGGCAAAACTCCCCCCCGCATTGCTCCAGCACCGGTGCATCTGCAACAGCCGGAGCATCAGCACAGACTGGTGACTGGCTCTTTCTGCAGGGACACTCCCAACAACGCAAGCGGCGCTGGAGCTACAGGAGGAGACTGCCAGACACCTCGTGATGCCTTATGGAGAAAAAAGAACAACTTTGCTCGTGCCTTTCCTATTTCAGCTACCACATGCCGGCCTCCCTCACATTTTAAAGAAACCACCCTCTAGTTTCAGCGTGGAGAAGGCCTTGCATCACCCTAGTATCTCTCGCCCATGAAGACCGGATTTCATCCACCCTCTGAATTAAAGGATAAAAGATGCCGGTCTGTAAGTAATCAATAGTCACCAAAACACACAAAATCCCCACCCACCCCTCTCTCATTCATCTCCAACCTTCACGGAGGCGGAAAACCACAAGGGAAAAAAAAAAAAGAAATCTGCTGGTAAGTAAACCAATACCTTCCGTCGCTTCCTGCCGTTTTCAAACTCCGAAACCACGCGATCCCGTCCGGCTCCGGGCACTGCCAGCACCTGTCATGCGCCGGGGCCAAAATAGTCCTTTTGTAACATGGGGTGGAGCCAACCTGCGCCCCACAACGCTGGGGGAGGGGTGCACACAGGGGCTCTCACCCACACACACACCCGCTCACAGCGCGCACGCACACTCACACGTGCCCGGTGCACAGGCGCTCACACGGAGGTGCAACTTGCCCTCGGAGGCTCCCCGCCAGCCCCCAACCCCGCACGAGAGTGCCCAGCGCCCCAGGGAGATAAGTGAGGCCCCCCCGACACCGCTCACCGCTGGGCCGCGCGCACGCAGGAGCCGGCTGC